AACACGTGGAACCATAAGATAGTGGATTCTTTCATAACAGAATCAGTAACAGGGACTAGTTACTCTGTAGAACAGGGAAAGGAAACCTGAGGACCTAGACCCATTGTTGTAGTTTCAGGACAGTCCTTTGGATCACAAGTGCTAAAATCAGAGGATACTTCTTCCTCCATCTTGAGGCATAAAACCAAAAAACCCTGTAATTATTTATTTTTGTAAAAGCTTATAATGAAGCTTAAGTAGTTTTTAAAAACAAGAAAGACCTCAAATCTTCCCTTCCCCAGCAAAGAAGCAGAAAATCCACACATATAATGCCACCATACCAACTATGCCCTGTAGAGCACAAATACGAAGTGTAATAAAATCCAGCCAGTCTTCTATAGATGATGTTGTTCTCCTGTATAAATCTTCCAGCCACTGTAACAACAGGTCAGTTTCTTGTACTAAGTTAGAATTTACGCCAGAAATGGTTCTTAAGCAAGGCAGTTATTAAGTGAGCCACACCTAATTTTATAACCCTTTTTGCCATGATTGTTAAGCAAATCACTGAAACTAAGTGAATCCTGTGGTTGTTAAGGGAATTTGGCTTCCCCCATTGACTTTGCTTGTCAGAAGTCAGCTGGGAAGGTCACAAACAGTACACACGATTCCAGACTGCTGCAAATACATGCTGGTTGCCAAGTGCACAAATTTTGATCACATGATCATGGGAATGCTGTGACAATCCTAAGTGCAAGGAATGGTTTTAAGTCATTTTTTAGTGCCACTGTAACTTTGAACGGTCACTAAAGGAATGGTTGTAAGTCAAGGACTATCTGTACACTTCTGAAGGGTCACTATTAAAGGGAAAAGTAGGTACGGAGCCAGCTGACAGGAATGAAACTAGATAACAAAGGATTTCCTTCATAAATGTAAGCTTTGCATTTTAATAGACCCTCAGCCGTATTTATATAAAAAAAGAAGTTATATTCAAGTATGAAATTCAGTTTCTAGAAGATGAAAGCATTTCCCCAAGTGAAAGGATACAAAATATTTTCTGAATAGACATACTGTATTGCAAGGCTGGCTAGGGAATTCTGGGAGTTGAAGTCCACACATCTTAAAGTTGCTAAGTTTAGGAAACACTGCATAATTCAAATTTGGAAAAGCAATGTTACAAGCTTGTACACTGCTATCCTATCTATTTGACGTATGCATAAAATATCATAAACTGGACTGAAAGAAACAGAGATGAGAAGAAGAAAAATGCTTCAAGAAATATTAACAGACTCAGATAAGCTGACAATATCGCTTCAGTAGAAGAAAGTGAGGAAGACTTAATCTATCTCTTACTGAAGGTGAAAGCCAAGTGCAAAAACTAGTCTGACACTCTATTTCTCTTTAAAAAAAACAAGATTACATCAGCTGATTGTGCCGAGCCAGTGCAAATAACTGATAATCTTTTGAAACAATGTTCACAATATGCTTGGAAAAATCCAACACAAAAAACTAGCAGGTGGCAAGATTTTATCATGTAAGCATGAGCTTATGAAGTAGTTGCATATAGACAGTTCTGGCAAATTGTTGTACATCAGACCACAATAAGTTGGAAATGAATGAATAACTGAACAAAACAATAATACTAGATAGTGTACTAGTGTATTATATTATCAAGAAAGGTATTTTGGACTACATGGACACCAAGATATAATTTATAAATAAAATTTCAAAGGAAAAAAAATTAAAGGGCACATTTTTATATTGTGGGTGCTGAAGCAATAGATAATATGAGCAGAAGGAATGTTTTTCAACACCCCCAGATCTGAGAGACTTTTGAAACAGCTTGCAGCTGATCTCTGTGGATTCAATACTATTTAGCTCAAAATACAGTTACTAATGAACTAGTCTTACTTGAATTTTATGTACTCAGATTCTGCCAGATGGATAGCAGCACTATAGTTTCTTCCTCTATCCTACTTATTTAATCGCTATTAAAATTTAGAGATGACAGACTGAATATTATAAAAATTGTATAGAGATATTTTTAATAAAAATAAATGACTATTGTACATTTTGTAACTATGTAAGGTTAGCCACCGCATGGCCTAGAAGCTAATTGTATCACCACTGGATCAGAATCTATCTATTACGATTTTAATTTTATTGAAGATGTTTACATAACCCACTGACTAGCATGCCGCTAAGCTTTCAAACTGTTGTAAACCAGGGAAAGGAAACCTCTACCCAGTGTAGCACTCAATGGGAAAAAGTTATTAATTGTATAGAACATACTCTAAGTGTTTAGCAAAGAGGAAAGAGAATTTAAAATGCATTGAAATTGTTTTTATGCATGGGGTCTTATCTTTCAACCCTCAAGGGAGAACCCTGGATTATCTTGCAAAGGGATGTACTCAGGCCTGATTCACCACAATGCAGCCTGTAGGTGAATCCTAACGTATGTTATGAATATCTTTGTATGTAACTCCATACAACATTTTATACATTGATACTACTAAGATCCAAGCATGATTATTATATTAATAGCTTGCTCATCATCCCAGAATTCGCCATTTTCCTTTCCCAATGATTTCTAGATGAACTTTAATTCTAAATGACACAACCATGAAAATTAGCTGATTCTTATATGACAGTAGTGTTTTCTACAAAATTCACGAATATAAGTAGATTAAAGTCTATAGGTAGATCTCTGAGTTAATTACTCAGCAAGGGTTGAGCTTGTTGAAATGAAGCAAGTTTAGATGTGAATTTTGAACAAAAGAATTGAGCTAAAAAGAATTATACACTAAACCCTGGATTTAATAGATTAATGAAGGAAGGATGTCCCTTAAAGCCGGATAAATGACATCTTAGTGTGTTATATGAAAATTGGAACACTTTTTAGCCTCAAAACATACTTATATATAATGTGAGATTTCTGTCTTTGTATGAGTGCCTTCAAGTCAGCATTATCTCTTGCCAACTGCCTGGACTTATCCCTGCAGGGGTTTTTTAGCAAGGTTTTTGGAAGTGCCTTGCTATTGCTTGCTTCTTAGTATGTGAGGAAGCAGCCCAGAAATCCAACTGGCTACAAATCTAAGGTAGGACTAGAATTCAGTCTCCAGAACACTAGCCTGGTGCTTTAACCATTATACCAAAGTGGCTCTCAATATATAGTATTACCAATAGCAGAGAAAACCCATTTTGAGGGGAAGCAGCAAGGATTGTTCAATGAATTTTGCCCATTGTTTGAGAGGAAGTCTATTACTGCTTGCAATTAAGACAAAATTTAGATCCAGGCTTCTGTCAGATCAGAAACCCCTTAAGCCAAGATTCATTAAATCATTTTTACTGTATTAAAAAGAATTATCTGCACTAATGTAAACACATGAACAGGCTGGTTTAGCAGATAGAAGTCTTCACCCAAGGAAGTGGGTGTTTATGGTTGAATGGGCATGTGAATTAAGGGCTCTTGTCGCTTTTTATACAAGGCAAATTAAACTGATACATTGTAAATGCACAGTTGGTTATCTTTGATCAATTTAAATCTGTGTGAGGTTTCACTTCAATTTAGCCCCCATAAAATTCACAAGAAGAAATTACACCTGGATACATCATTTTTTTTTTATTTCTGCCTATATGTTTATGTACCTGACTCTGATATAATGGTAATAAAGAAACACAAACAAAATAAATCTAATACATCAGTATTTCCATTCCTGTTCTAAAACCAAGTGCTGACATTGCCATAGATTTATTGGTAGATCAGCATAAAGGAGAAAAGCCATTTGTATGCCAGTCAAAGTTCTAGTAAGATATTTATCAATTGATCGCGTGCTCAGTGGTTTTTCTGCTATTTTATTTCTGCCATTCTTCTGCTCCTGAAGAAGCTGAAACCTTGTGCAGCATTTGGTTAAAAAAAAAACCTCTGAGTTGATTTCACAGACATCGATATGGAAATGATTTGATATTACTTTCTTCTAGATATTTTCTTTTTAACTTCCGAGTCCTGCGATATCTGGAGTCAAGCCAGCGTAGCTTCAAGACATCAGATGCCAAGGCTGCCTAGAAGCTGCTCCCTACCTGGGACTAATTGGTGTAAGCTAATACGTTGGTGATCGTCTGGATTCCAGTTATCCAGTTATTCCAGATTATTACCGTCTGGATTCTAGTTACCTAGCATCGACACAAAGCCTGCCAAAGGGGCTAGCCTTCCGTGGCAGGCGTTCGGTGTAGAGAAGCAGAAAGGACTCTCTTCACTTAACTCTGCACATCCAGTCCTGACTGCACCCCCTTCTCGATTTAGCCTGTAGAAACGGGGGTATTAGAGCGAAAGATAAAAGTCTAGGCCAGGGGTAGGCAACCTTGGCTCTTTTATGACTCGTGGACTTCAACTCCCAGAATTCCCGAGCCAGCATAGCTGGCTCGGGAATTCTGGGAGTTGAAGTCCACGAGTCATAAAAGAGCCAAGGTTGCCTACCCCTGGTCTAGGCAGAAAGCCACAGCTTGACATTTGCACAAACAACACTTTCACCTGCTTTTTCCCCCTCACAAAGAGCGGGCAGGCCAACATTACCAAGAGGAGAAAAGCCCCTCCCACCCTTCCATCCCAGGGGCGGGGATTTTGTAAAGGCAGCTTTAAAGGTGCAGCGAAAAACGACCGTTCGGACGTGCACCGCGTCTTTCTCTCTCGTCTTCGAGCGCCCACGTTTCCCCACGACAAGCTCCCCTCTGCCCCGCCGCAATCCCCACGCCGCTCTTTCGCTCACACATCCGTTACCCGCCTTTCTTCCCTCCTTCCTTTCTCCTCCTCCCGCCAAACCCGTGACAGCCTTCGAGGCACGCCCTGCCAGGCCAGAGCTGCTGTTTGCCGGCAGGCTGGGGGGGCAGCCGCGCGTTGCCTCCGCCGCCCTCGCCAGCCAGCCAAACGCGGCGACGACGCCGGAGCGACCCGCAGACGCGCGGGGTGCCCCTACTGCGGCCCTCCGCTTTCGGAGGCGCCGGGACGAGGACGGGCGGTGACGGCCATGGGCTCGACCGAGGAACTGCTGCTGCCTCCCGAGTACCTCCTTGCAAGCGAGTGGGACCGGGAATCGGCGCCGCCGTTGCCGCCCTTAAGGGGCAGAGGGGGCGCATCCCGGCACAAGCGGCGGCGGCAGCAGCAGCAGCAGCAGCAGCAGCCCCCCCATTCCTCGCTGCCTCTGGCGGGGGACGAGGACAAGCCGCAGCAGCAGGTGAGCGTCAAGGAGCTGTCGTGAGAAGCGGCGACTTGCCAGAGACGCGTGTCAAGCCTAGCCGGGTGGTGTGTCACGGAGTTTCACTTTCCTGGGGAAAGGGGACCAGGTCCGGGGAGTCGGTTTAGGGAATCCGGACCGCGAGGCCTTTGTTCCGCTTTTGCCTTCCCGGGCTGTCAGTGGCAGACATGAGGGAAATGGGGCTTTTGTGTGTGTGTGTGTGTGTGTGTGTGTGTGTGTGTGTGTGTGTGTGTGTGTGTGTGTGTGTGTGTGTGTGTGTGTGAGGAACGACACACCTACCTTACTTGCACGAGGCAGTCAGACCCAGTAATCGGCTCCGGCAGGCAGCAGTTTCCCCTCCCCTTCTGGCAGAGCCGCAGTGTTGTAGCTCGGCGGCGAAGTGTTTTTTCCTCCCATTCTGGGAGAAAGAGAGCAAGCATTTTCCCCCACACTAGGACAGCGATGCATCTGAGTTTCTCCTTTGCCTGGTTAAGTTGGGAAGAGGCTCCTGGAGAACGTGAAAATGTTGCACTTCGTCTAAGCATAATGGAATTGTCTTCTTGCAGAGTTTGGGGTGAAGAAAAACATGCACAACATGACCATTTTGATATTGTTAGATAAATTCTTATTATGTAGGACAAGGGTAGTCAACCTTGGCTCTTTTATGACTCGTGGACTTCAACTCCCAGAATTCCTGAGCCAGCTTAGCTGGCTCAGGAATTCTGGGAGTTGAAGTCCACGAGTCATAAAAGAGCCAAGGTTGACTACCCCTGATGTAGGAGTAGGATTATTTCCTACTTGTGAACTGTTTCTCAGGCTGTACATTTGATTTTTTTTAAAAAAATAATATCAGGAAGATCTGCAACATCACATTATAAAACTATCCTGTATTGACATTTAATTGCTTTTTTTCTTCTCAGTCTCAAGTTTAGGGGTCTTTAGATTTCATGTCTTTGAGAATATTTGATGTTGCTGTCTTTGACTGTAACCCATCACTGTATCATTCCTCAGCATCCTTTGCAGCCTGTCCTACCCACTCTGGAGGCCTCTGATGTTTTCCCTTGAGATAGACGTGTAAGAAATTCAGTAGGCTGTTGAAGAAATGTATAATAAACAGTCATATCACAACTAACGTGTAAGAATTCCACACTTGCCAATGAGAATTTCATTGAAATGTTGACTTTTTTAAAAGCAGGGCGTTTTCATGTCCATAAAATTTAAAGAGAATAATAAAACACACAGAGAGAGAAGAAATTGCTTAGCATGGTACTTAATAAGCCTAAGCTGAGATGCCACATCATTCAGGTATCTGTACTTATGATTTCTGGAGGGGTGCTTGGAACATTTTGCTAAGAACAGTAAGAATATTTGAATAATGAATGTACAAATTCTGATATAATTAGAATTAAGTCTCACAAGTATGACTTGAAAAAAATGGACAGAGGTAACACTAAGAGTTCAGAATGTTCTCACACTAAGCAGGTGCCAGCATCCCACTGACCTTGCCTAATCTTCAAAATCCCTAAAAAGATGCACTGCAGTAAGCCAATCATGAAGCAATAAAGTGCATGTGACAGTCCCCAAAATTTGATTGAGATTGTTATCAGAGTTAAGCAAAAGCAGTTGTAAATTCATTCTGTTTTTATTTGATCCTAAACATTAGAAAACAGAATATTTCACATAAAACTCCTAAATACTCTTAAATATATTGTTTTTGTTAAGTTTCTCTGTTTCTCTGATATTGGCAGAGGTATACAATGTGCAAAGTAAACAATTAGACTATGTGAAATAGAACTTCTCTGCAGCAAAGATCTTCAACCACATATGACAATCCTCAGTTTGTACGAGTCTCAAGAGCAAGTGGCTCAAGAGCTGACATGATGTTATTTTATTCAAAGTGATGAGAAGGTAATCACTTACCAAACTGAAGAAAACATGAAATTTTGCAAATAAACATAGCACTCCCAAATTAAAAGAGATTTAATTTCTAAGTTAGTACAGTACTTGCTCCAGCTAGACTTTTCTATTTTAATTATTTAATATCTTAGCAGATTTTATTTTCTTTGAGGCTATAATTTTCAGAATGCACTTATTAAAGAGAATAAACACCTGGCATCTGTAGTTTCAAAATTATAATACAATACTGTGATGCAATTTCCCCCTCTAAGCAGATGTTTCAAGAACATTATTAAATACATTGATTTTTAAAAGTACTGCAAATTAATTAATATAAATATGTTTATATTAATTAAATACAATTAATATAAATATGTTACAAGTTTGGTGATTCAGGAAGTGAAATTATTTCCAAAGTACATCTTTCATTTCACAGTTCCTATGGAAATAGGTGTTTACTACAATTAAGGGTACTTTGTATTCCTTTTTGCTCTTTACATCTCAAGGTGCTGCACAAATGTATATAATATTTCTATTTACTATGAGCAAAATTGCATCTTTTGTTATATACCCTTAATCACTGAAGCCTTGTAAAGTACAACTGAAATAAAAAGCATCCTGGATAGTATATACCTAAAATTCATTTTAAGTTATTACAGGGCCTATTCTCTCTTTTTTTTAGCAGACTAATTAAAACTAACCTTCCTGGAATAAAGAATATGAAATCCTAACACGTTCGAGTAAATTTGTACAGGAATGTTTCAGTTATATAGCACTGTACTCCAATAAGGTCAAGATTCCTTGACCTACATTTATTCTCAACCTAATTCTGTAACTGGACCAATTATCTTCATGATTAAGTTGAGTTGCTTATAAGATTTAACTTAGTTCATTTTATATTACATCTTTTTTAATTTTCGAGTTTCTCAGTCTCTGAAATAATGTAAGAAAATAATATAGTTTTAACAGAATTCACGTTAAAAATATCTATCTATCTTTTATAAAGCTTCAATATAAATTAATGTTGGAGAACAACCATCCAAGTCAGTAGGAGGGCTCAAGTGGAAAATTAGCATGGACTCGCTAAACACAAGAGAGCAAGGTCTCTCTCTCTTTCTCTTTCTCTTTCTCTTTCTCTCTCTCTCTCTCTCTCTCTCACACACACACACACATTTTTGAACCTTATCTAGTCTATCCCAGGCTAAAGCTGCCTGTCTGGGGAGATTCCTGTGCTATAGGTAGAGAACAATAAAATAGATTGAAATCGATACATGAGGGTTTGGTTGTTCGCACCTAACAATTACAGGCAATTTCTGTGTATTTGACCACAATGGTTGGTAATTGTAGTGCATGGTTTTTCTCGAAAGCAGAAGTGTTACACAATATCTAAAATAAACAATTCTTAAGATAGTTCTAAAGTGGCTAGACTTGTGGTTAAAATATATTCTAATATACAAAGAAAAAGTGTGTTCTATTCAATTTTTACATTAAGACTTAAGTTTTAACAATAATGCATGTTGACTGCATTGTTAGAACTTGTTTTGAATAGAATAATCATGTATCGTATCCATATATCCACATATCCAGCTATAAAAAGGAAAACATATTTCTTAACGCTCCTAACACTCTTAACACTCAGTCAAAATTTGCTGGAAATCAGTTGGAGCTATGGGTTTGTAATTTATGTTAAATTGGTACTGTTAGTTCCAGGTCTCTTTTCTTAAATTTCCTCCCTTTGCTCTGCCCTCTAAAAGGTCTTTTAAATCTATCCTAGTTATATGGAAGCTTTTTTTTTCTCTGAGTACTTCCCACATAATTGCAGATGGATTTAAATTACTCAATTGGGATATTCAAATTAGGGCTCTTTTGAAATAGTTTGGAAAAATTCTTTAGGCACATAGGAAACTGCTTTTCTGGATTTCAGTAAACTGTTTTTGTGGCCCCACATTGCCCTGAAACATCTTGTTTAAACTGAATACAAAGCATTAAACATATGTACTAAATGGTCTTAAAAAGTAATGCTTTGCAACAGGGGAGCATGTACAAAGTGCCTCTTTTCAAATTCTTAAAATAGTCTCATTCTTTACAAGCTTTATTTGGCTGCTTCAAAAGACACTCCCCAACAATCTCTGCATGCATGTACATGATAGCCACTAAGTGAAGTAGTTATATAAGCATGTAATGCAGAGATAGCCAGCTGCAGCTTCAAAGAGGTACTTTGTTTGCCCAGTGCTGTTAACCAACTGAGAACCAATCTGATGTAGTGGTTAAGGCACGAGGCTGCTGGGTGACTTTGGGCCAGTCATTTTCTGAGACCTAGGAAGCAGGCAAAGGCAAGCCAGTTTCAAGGACTAGTCCAGGCAGTTGCCAGGAGTCAGCTCTGACTCAAAGGTATTAAAAAAATTACCGACTATTTGAGTCAGGTCAAATTACCTACATTGGTCCTGTACAAAGGAGAGAAAGGGAAGGGTGCCAGTGTCTCTCTGTGTTTTTCTTGTTGGTCTATGACTGTAATGATCTGATAGTATCTGCATATTTTATTGTTTAAGTGGTATATTAGTTTTATGTCTGCCATTAAGGAAGAAACTTTACTTCAAAATGGCAAGGTCTACAGGTAGTTCTCAAGTTATGATTGGAACCAGAATTTTTATCACCGAGCGATGTGGTCATAAAGTGTGATGTCACATTACTGCATTGCTTAGCAACAGCAATCCCAGCAGTCCCCATTTCTGTCATGAAGTGAACACCTCACATGACTACAATTTGCAATTTCCTACCAGCTTCCAGCAAGCAAATTCAATGGGAAAGTTGGCAGGAAGTCACAAGTCCTGGGAGGCTTGCAAGCAGGCTTCTAGATGGATAAGTGCTATGGAGGCAGGCGGGTGGGTGCTGTGGCACTGTAGGAGGACTGGTAGGGGAGAGTACTAACAAGCCAAGGGGAGGTGGGCATGTACTACAGAATGCAGGAGGATACTGCGGGTGGGTGCACGTGCTACAGAGTATCTTGTACTCCATAGCTCAACTCCTTAGGGGAGAAGCAGGAGTGACATATGACTTTTCCTGCCAGATTCTCCATTGACTTTACTTGTGGGAAGTTGACAGGGGAGTTTGCAAATGCCAATTCCATGACTGCGGGACACTATAAGCGTCATTAGTGTGAGGCAGTTGCCAAGCATCCAAATCATGACCATGTGCTGTGAGGGTACTGTGATGGCCAGAACCAGAACCATGGTGCAGTCATCAGTACCACTTGTTGAGTGCTGTTGCAAGTTTGAATGGTTACTGGATGAGTGGTTAATTGAAGAGTATCTATATTTATAATAGGATAAAGAGTGCTTACATCGGTGCTTAACACAGACATATGTTCTCTTATTTTTAGTTTGTTTTACATTCTAGTTCCCTATATTCAGCTTTTATTTAGAGGCTTTGAAACTCATCGTTTCAATTATTCTACACTCAGCCTTCCAATATAACATTTAAATGTATTTTCAGTTTGATACTGTGCATATTGATACAGGGATTTGTTTTTCTGAATGGTTTCCTTCAAATAAGCGTACATAGAAGGACATCATTAAAAATCAAAGTTTTGAAGTTCTACAAATTCAAGAATTGTAGAATCTTTATCAGACTCAGAATCAATACAGGTAGTCTGCTACAGGTAGTCCTGGACTTATGACCACAAGTAGTAGTGGGACTTCCATCACCAAGCTATGCGGTCATTAAGTGAGTTGTGCCCAATTTTACAACTTTTTTTGAACTGTTAAACAAATCACAGTTGTTAAGAAAATCAAGCAGTCATTAAGTCAATCCATCTCTCCCCCACTAACTTTAGTTGTCAGAAGCCTCCTGGGAAGGCACCAATGGTGGTCATGTGACCCTGTGACCCTTCATCCATCATAAATACATGCCAGTTGCCACATGCCCAAATTATAATCACATGACTGGTTATAAGTTACTTTTTTTAACACCAAAACTTTGAACAGTCATTAAACAAATGGTCATAAGTCCAGGACTACCTGTAGTACTACACAATTTACAGTGTTAAGATGTGTTAAGGCTGTTGGTCAGTTTATCAGAACTATGCGGATGAATTAAAAGGGCATACAGTTCATAGTTTCTTGACATTCTATTTGTTTCATTTTTAATGTAAAAGGTAGGTCTCAGTCACAAATCTTTTTCCTTGTCACAATTATGATTGAATTTAGCTTGATGAAAATCTAGCCTCCATATCAAGGAGCATGATTGTCATGTTTTTTGATCATTTGAGTTCTTTTTCAGTATTTGTTGGAAACAAAGGGGAGGAAGCAAATTAGAATATATTTCAGGGTGGATTGTAGTTTATGTGACAGTGTCAGTATATCATAATAAGAAATGCAGCACTAAAACAAGTCAATCTAAAATGTTTAGTTTCAGTGATACATTTATTCATTTAGACATTATAGTCTATTAATTATTTAGTAAAAAATGCAGGTATTTATTACTAAATATAAAAACAAATACTTCAATAAAGGAAAAAAATCTTAATAACACAGTTTAATTAAAGGTGGAAGCCCAACCTTGCTTTGCAATAGTATTAGCAGGTTGACTAAAATATTGAAGACCACCTTTGGCTGTTTCTTTTTAATAGAAAAATTAGCCAAAATCATTTAGTGATTGTATTAGTCATCTATTTTAAAAAAATCTTACCATTGAAATGTATAGGATTGTATAGGATTTAGCTATATGAAGAAACAATTATATTTGCATCTATTAGTCAGTCCTATAGTCCTATTAACAGACTAAAGAAGACAATGAGATAAAAAGTACCTTCTCTAGTCTATGACCCATGTGGTACAGTTGAGCATTATTGCTAGAAAGTAGAAAGCCATACTGTACTTTCTTATAGTAAAAAGATAAAATAAATAGTGAATAAGAAATTAAATCTCATATAATATATCCATACAAGTACAAGCTAGTACTTTATGTAGGAGCTGATAATGACTGAAACAGATTGGGGAGTAAAGATATTTCATATATAAGGTTTCCCTGTCCAGTCTAGGGCACAGTGCCCATCTCTGTTTCTTGGCCAAGAAAGCCAATGTTGCCCAAAGACATTTTCTATAGTCATGTGGCCAGCATGGGCTACACGCCAAAGGTGCATGGAATGTTGTTACCTTCCCACCGAAGTGGTACCTATTAATCTACTTGCATTTGCATACTTTAGAATTGCTAGGTGAACAGGAGCTGGGGCAAGAAACGGGAGCTCACCTGATTGTGTGGTGCCGGGTCTTGGACCTGGGCTGTCTGCTCCAGCTGACAAACTCAATGTCTTTAACTCCTGAGCCATGTTGTAGCATATTAATAAAATATTTGGTTATATGACAAAGCATAACAATACTATTGGAAAAAAGATAATTGTTTAATAATATAAAACAGAGCTAGTTAATCTTGACAAAATATTTCAGATTATTACCCTTTAGAAAAAAAATTAAAAGCTATTTTTACATACAAGATTGCATTTTAAAAAGCAGAATTACTATCACAGTGTTTTTTATATATATAGATTAATCTTTATTCTCTTTTAATTCTAGGTGCTACAAGAAGAAAGGGAAAATAACACTGAATCAGTTACTGATGACTATAAAAAGATGGGGACTCTCTTTGGTGAACTCAACAAAAGCCTCATAAGAATAGGATTCACAAGGATGTATTTTGGAGAAAGGATTGTAGAACCTGTAATAATCCTGTTCTTCTGGGTTATGCTCTGGTTTCTTGGACTACAAGCTCTTGGATTAGTGGCTGTCCTGTGCCTTGTTATTATATATGTTCAGCAATAAAATATACTGGGTAGACTATTTCATATATTCATGGATTTACATATTTAGCTGAACAAGAATGGCATCACTACTAACTATTGTGCTAAATATTATGTAGTCATTAAATGTTTGCATGGGGTTTTTTTCTTCCAATCTTTGTGATTTAAAAAGAAAAAGCATTCTTATCTGTCATGAATAAGTGAGTAAAATATTCTCAGTATGAGGCAGTGTAGTCAAATCATTCATTTAGTAAATCCTATTACTAAGTGGAAGAATTCTAATTTTAAGAGGTTTGGAGATACAAACATACTTTTCATTGTATGAATGGTGCTTTTATATTCATGCAACAACTGTTTTCAAAAAATACCTTTTATATTAAAACTAAAGGTTAAAAAGCCAATTTTATGAGCTCTTGTGTTGTATGATTTTTTTTATCACCTTTTAAATCTCTTTGAAAATTTGTTTAGTGATGTGTATGCATAGGAACCCATCTTAATGACTTGTAAATGTATTAGAAAAATGTCAGTCAAAAAATTCTTAAATATGACAGTAAATCTGGTGATTTTTTTATTTCATTTTTTATTATGTGTGTACTTATAAAAAACTTTCTCTGGAAATAAATTAGGATTCTTCCTTTCTTTTTAATGGACTTCTAATTTATCTCAGTTTAATTATTTTATGTGCAGTCTCTGCAAACACATAAGAGCAAGCTAAAATATTTTTTCTGAAATTGTATCTTCCCTTTTAAATGAGTATTTTGGGAAGAAGAAATAAATACATTTCCTAGTTATAAAATCAAGGACTGATATGTATTGAGCCAAAATATTATAAACATTCTTTATCAAGTTTACTTTACAATGTAAATATTCACTGCAGAGAACTTATTAGATCACAAATGCTGCACTGTTTAAGTTATTTAAGAACCATGGAGAATGTAGGTGATAAAAACAGCTTGTACAAGTCCTCCTCAAAGCCATGCTTTCTGTTACTTCGTTAAGTCAGTATCTGTTGTGCAACTCTAGAACCCCACTGAAATTTTTTTTAGTGAAACTCTTTGTGTATCTTAAAAGTATGGTGGTTATGATTACATTGATTTACCAAGTGGAATTTTTTGTGGGGGAAAATTGGGATAATAAATTATCCATCACAACTATAGAAACGCATTGCCAAACAAATTCAATCCACAAATGAAAAGTTCTTTTTGCCATGTTTACCACAGCAAGAATCCAATGCAGAAGTAAAATTTGGAGATTCCTTTTTATATGCAGGACTATTGTGTCATTTTTATACTGTTCAAAGTATGGTACAGATTTTTGAAGAAATATGTAGGAAAATATCCACATAACAATATCCTACACTAGATCAATAGTTTATAGGCAAAAGGAAGATCAGCACTGGATAAAAACTAGCTTTCATAATATTTGTTATTTATGCTAATATAATTTCTCTTTTTACTTTAGCTGTTCCAAGTAGGATATTTGTAGCTGAAATTGGTTTTTGTTATTTAAATTTAAGAGAAATTCCAGCCTCCCTTTTAATAGTTAATTTTTATTTCATTCATGAGTCATCAGTTTTTACTTTTTGTTCATCTAGTTCATGAAAATATTTTTTTAAAATTAAAACTTGTCAATTTATTTTGTTGTAGACTTTAAAAATATCACAGTTCTGTTGATGTGACCCTATCTAAACAATGTACAGAATCAGGATTATTGATACTGTAATAAAGAACAGTGAATTCTTTTGTATCTTGGGTGGCTGTTACAGCTCTCTAATAGATATCTGAAGGTTCTCATTCATTTTGTGAGAAGAAGCAGGCTTATGCGTTTCAATGAAATCTCAGAATATATACAGAGAAACCATATACAAAGGTGCTTCTCTTTGCAACCAGTATAGCTGGGTATTAAATTCTATACCCTTTTTTAGGGACAAGAGTGTGCTCTAGTTTAGAACCTGAAGAATGCCTTTATAGGTATTCAGAAAACTAATTTTTTAAAAAAATCTGTTATTGGTGATGAATTAAGTGCAAGTACGCTAAAAATGACTTTCAAATGATTTTCAAATAACTATTCAGTTCAAACCTGTAGCATGTGTACATAATATATACTGTAGGTGTGTGAATGTTTTTATTTAGGGCCCATCATTTGGCCCATTTACAATGATTTTGAAATGGTTTTAGAGTATGATCGCACTTTTGGGGATGTCTTGTACTTAAATGAAACTTCTGACCTTTTGATCTTCAATGATTACCATTCTACTATTTTTAACTCTAATATGTTTTGGAAAGGAATGGAGCAAATATTATTTTATATGAATTCTTGACTGTACAGTATACTGAAGAGCCATGCACTATGGTTTAGTTGACAATGATCCCTGCTGAAGCTCTTCACATGTCAAAATATGCTGCCAGATTGGGGGTAAAAAAACAGTATTAGATATACTGTTCAGGAAGATGCAACCAGGCATGGAAACTGGTAACCTCACAGATTCTTTTGAAAATATTTTCTGATCACAGATAAGGATTTGCTCTGAAAAATGTAACACCTAGAATGGTTTTAATATTCAATTATTTCCTCAGAAGTGTTTGTATGAAATGATGCTTCTACAAATTCAGATTTTTAAAAATAAATTTTCTTTTGGTTTAAAAATTGCTTTTGTCTGATTTTTTAAATTAATGGAAATTTATTTCATTAATTTATAATGAAATACCTTTATTAAAACAGGAGCTTCAAAAGGCATAGTTGTATTCTGAAGGTTTTTGTTAAAAAAACATTATTTCCAATAACTAGAAATTACAGGTAGTCCTCGACTTAAAACAGTTCATTTAGTGACTGTTCAAAGTTACAATGGCACTGAAAAAGTGACATGTCTGTTTTTCACACTTACAACCGCTGTAACATCCTCATGGTCATGTGATTAAAATTTGAATGCCTGGCAACTGATTCATATTTATGACAGTTGCAGTGTCCAGGGGTCACGTGATCACCTTTTGCAACCTTCTGACAAGCAAAGTCAATGGGAAAGTCAGATTCACTTAACAGCTGGGTTACTAACTTATCAACTGCAGTGATTCACTTAACAACTGTTGCAAGGAAGGTCGTAAAATGGGGCAAAACTCACTTAACAAACGTCTCACTTAACAACAGAAATTTTGGGGCTCAATTGTGGTTGTAAGTTAAGGACTGCCTGTTCTTGTTTTAGGAAAAACAAGGAACTGTCTTTTTTATGATGCCTTTTACTGGTTGATTTATACAGATGTCCAAGAAAGGTACGCATGCCCATAACAAATGGTGGAGGTAAATCTTATGTGGAAGATAGCAAAATGATTTTACTTATGTTCTAATAGAAACATGGGGTGGGAGAAGAGAACTTATAACTCTAGATCTATTTGACTGTATTCACTTATCCAATCCCTTTGATTGCAATGGCAATGGAATAAAATATAGATCCTTATATCTTATTCTGGATCAGAATCGTAGCTTAGAAGTAGAATGTAAGCTTATTGTATAGTCAAAAACATGACATCTCCAATTAATAGGCTAAGAAAGAGAACTTCTGTTGTGCCTGAGACCTTGGAGAACTTCTAGTTGAAGAAGATTACCTTGACCTATAAGGACAAATTAGCTAGAATGGTACAAGGCAGCTTCTTGTATTAATATTTATATTAATATTGACTTATGACTGTTTTTCACAGTTATGGCCTTTGAAGCATCCCCATGGTCATTTGATCAAAATTTAGATGCTTGATGACTGATTCATACTTAGGTCTGTTGCTGTGTCCCAAGGTCATGTGATCCCCTTTTGCAACCTTCTGACAAACAAAATTGTGAATTTTAAAGCAAGATGTGTAAAACTGATGGGTGATTCCAAAATTCCATCATGAACTTTGCCACAGCAAGTTCTTTCATACTTTTGTGGTGAGCACGTTTTTCGTATTGTTCCCCTATGTTATGGAGGCAACTCCCTTTCTTTCTTTCTTTCTTTCTTTCTTTCTTTCTTTCTTTCTTTCTTTCTTTCTTTCTTTCTTTCTTTCAGCATTTATTGTGCATGTAACGTAAAATGAAAAGGGAGAAGTTTAAATAGGTATTCACAAAATTAAAATAGTTTTACTGCATTTCATTTGAAAGTATAGCTTAACAATATTATGCAGACTGAGAGCAGCACTAGACATAGAACTCAATTATCCTCTGATTGTCATTTTAAAACAAAAATGAATGCTGTTTGTCTGCAGCTCCTTGTAATTATGAACTCCTTGCATTAGCTTTCCTGTAAAATGCATTAGAGTGTCCCTGTGGAAAATAAAAACATTATGTACTTAAGGGTCGTAATGCTACTAGTGGAAACTTGGACCATGAATTAGGCTCATTATCTCTGGACAATTTTGTTCTATCGGTTTCATTATGACCTGAGATTTACTGAAAGAAAAATAAAGTTGATGGATGAAGAACCTTATAAAGCTGGAAAATGCTTTTACTGTCCCTACATATTTTTATATAATTTTTGTTAGAGATTTTAACAGAAAAAACACAAAATATTTATATATATTATATTTTTATTTTTAAAAATTATACAATGAAAAATTAAGAAATAGGTAAAAAAAGAAAAGATAAATTATAAGAAACAATTGAAGTAGAAAAATATAAAGAAGCAACTTCCAATCTTCCTTCCAGCAATTACATACTTAATAGCCTCTCTCTTCAAGATTACATTTCCCTTCTTTCCATATTCAACCCTTTTTAATCAGCAAAGCCATAAAACACCAAATCATTTTTCCATTTTTTCAGCAAAAGCCCATAGGAGTTTTTCAGTATTTTGTGAAAGTACTTATTGTTTAATTCCTGACTGGTCAACTTTACCATCCCTCTATATTTAAATTTTACTGCTCTATTGTGATATTTCATTGTTTTTCTATCTTTGTGAATATAATAGCCTCCTGCAGTTACCATATACAAAACTAATCTTCCATAAGTCTTTTTTTAATTGGCTATCAATTTAAAAGCTCAGATTTCATCAGAATATTAATTTTTACAATTATTTGCAGCATCATATGAATTTGCATCCAGGTTGTGTTTTGTTTGAGGGTGGATTTGTTTGGTTTTGGGGGGGAGGAGTTCCTCCCACTTCTACTATGCATGGTAAAATGTCCCTTCATGTCTTTCACGTTTTGAACATTGATTAGAGATACTTTTATAAATCTTAGATCATTTATCTGGTACCTACAGCACATCTATATACTACTAAACCTTTCCTGTCTGTTTTGATACTTTGCAGCCTTCAATTGAGGCAAAATTATAAGTGCCAGGATCCATTACTCCTGAGGTGATGACATTTGGGGATTTTTTTTCCCACTTCAGTTCCACCGTGCTGCTGCTGTTCAATGCCATTTTACTGACTCGGTAACCCGCAATCAGATGATCTCATTTTCAATGTTTCCTGACAGCTTCCCACAAGTTGATGGGGAGGAGGAACTGATATGACTGACAACACCCCTTGCTTCCCCCTTCCTTGTGGGAAGCTTGCAAGGAAAGTCAATCACTCCCTCCTTCCTCCACCCAGCAGCAACTACTTATCTGCTTCCTGGGAAAAGAAGGCAAGATTTCTGATGCTCATTGCTAGCTTCCCACAAAGGGGAAGCCGATAGGAAGTCAGAAGCCACTCCCCTCCCACTGATTTTTTTTTTTTTGCTTACCCATGGTAATTCTATCTAAATTATTTATGCCATTAATGCTATTTGCATATAATTATATTATTACAGGTAATCCTTGTTTAATAGCAGTGTTCCAATATCTCAGGGGCTGCCATAAAGAAGAGGGAGTCAAGCTATTTTCCAAAGTGCCTGGAGGCAGGACAAGAAGCAACGGGTGGAAACTAATCAAGGAGAGAAGCAATCTAGAACTAAGGAGAAACTTCCTGACAGTGAGAACAATTAACCAGTGGAACGGCTTGCCACCAGAAGCGGTGAATGCTCCAACACTGGAAGTTTTTAAGAAGAGACTGGACAGCCATTTGTCCGAAATGGTATAGGGTTTCCTGCCTGAGCAGGGGGTTGGACTAGATGACCTTCAAGGTCCCTTCCAACTTTACTATTATTATTATTATTATTATTATTATTATTATTATTATTATTANTAATAATAATAATAATAATATACATTTATTCAGCAACCATTCAAAGTTACAATAAGCACTCAATGAGGGGCACTTACGATGGGTCCTCATAGTTGCAGACATCACAGCATCTCTACGGTCAGGTGATTGCAATTTGGGAACTGAGCAAATAGCTCACAATTATGCTACTGCAGCATTTCATGGTCATATGATTGCCATTTGTAACTTCACTGCCAGCTTCTGACAAGCAAAGTCAACGAGGAAGCCAGCCAGCAGGTCACAAATGGCAATCATATGACTGCAGGATGCTGTGACCGGACAGGATTCATCTAATGACCACAACTGGGACTGTCTGAACTTCTGTTGTCAGTCATCATGGTCATATGACAGTGACCATCTTGCTTAAGCATGGAGTTCCCAGTCCCAATTACCATCGATAAATGAGGACTTTCTGCATATTTACCTATTATAAAGAGTATAAACAAATATTAAATATAGAATAAGCCATCTCAGTACAGCATATATGCCAAACTGAATTTGATAAATGAATCAAGAATACATAAAATAAATGCAATAATTAAAAACAGACAATTAACTTTTTTTTTTAACTTGGCTATTCTGTAGGCATATGATAGACATTTTATACTGCAATACTGATCACTTGGATCACAGTATCAGTCTGGATATTAATTAAACCATAAAAGTTGGGACAGGTGACTGATAGCATTCAGACTGCTAACTAATATTTCTATTAAATTATTTCAAATTGTCTCTACAGTCCATTGCTTCAAAGGAATGTCTGCACTGAGAGAGGTCAAAAAACTGGTACAAGTAACACACCATTAATTTGATGTCTTTATATATATCACAAGGAAATCTTCCAATGACTTTAAGCATTCCATTGCTTTCAAAGTTACATGATTTTGCTATTAATTTTTCTTGCTTCTGATATAAAATATGGCCATGGTTTCTGAGGCAACAGCATTTCAAAAAGAACAGAAAAGTGGAAGCATTGTATTTAAATGGCATCAGCATTCTATAAAAGATTGTTATTTTACATACTGTATAAATAAATATTCTGAAATGCAGACTCTTAAAAGGCTGAGTTTTTAACTTTTGAGTCAAATAAATATAATAAGGTATATTAACAAAGCCTGTGTACCACACCCTACTTAGTGCAATCTTGGTTAAGAATTTAGTATCAGTCATTCTTAATTTCTTTTGCAGAAAAAGAAATAGCTCACCTTTAGGTCTTCTAATACACACTGATCAAATACATATAAAATATAAGAATTAATCTTTTTCATTTCTGGAGCAATTTTATGTACAACAAGCCAAACTAAACAAGAACAAAAAGAGATAGGCATGTTTTCAGAAGATCAGAGCAGAGCCAAATCCACCTACTTCTTATGATTTGCTCTTTCTGAAATCTGAAATGGTGGACAGAATCTGGAAGAGCAGTGCGCCAAATAATAATAATAATAATAATAGTGATGAT